GTATTTTTTCTTTTAATGTTTATTTCATTATCTTTGCTTTTTAACCTGTTAAGCCCTGAGCCTGTTTTTCAGGCCTCAGGCTCGAAAATGACATTCCCAGAACAAATGACCATATCTTCCCTTCTAAAAGGGTTAAATTAATAATCGTTTTTCTCAAAGTAATGATAAACCTGTGAGTTGGATGTAGAAAAGTCAGAATCAATATAGATGTTTTTTATTTTAAAGAAAATTCAGATTTTACATAAAAAACTGTAAATTATAGTGTCCGTCCAAAAATTTGAAGGGGGAGTCCCCCACACACACTCATTGTGAAACAAAAAGGTGGGGGCTTCGCACATGCAGTTTTGCATTAGAGTGAAGCTACAGTCTAGCTGTGACATCTAGAAACGTAAAAGCATGGATTATCCGTCTGTTTGCTTATGGATTATCAGAAATAATTTCAAAGGGACACAGACACATTGGATTAACCTATGGATTAACTTCAGCAGCGTTTTTATCGTTTTAATGCCATTGAAGACCACTTTGGAGAGACTACAGAGCCAAGGTAAAAATGTTAGCATTTTTAGCTACCTAGCGTCACCTGTTTTGATGTCCGTTTTTGCTTATAACGTCGCAAATTCGTATAATTCAGTGGTAATGTGGGTACCCATCGATTCTGTGTCACCTCACGATGTGAAACGATGTCATGGATGTAGAGAAGAGATAAATAATAAGGTTTTGTGAGTGATTTTCGGTGCAGTAAGGTGTTAGCATTTTTCGCTCGTTGCTAATTCAGAGGCTCAGTGTTAGCATTGTGGGTTTTCTTTTGAAAAAAAAATTAAAAAGATCAGTTAGATGAGTCTCTTCCCGTTACATGGATATAAAACATTCATAGTTTATTAAATGAACATGCTTTTTTTTCTGTAGGGCTTCAGGATATTTGGCATGTCATGCATAAAACCGGTGTCATCTTTCCTGAAACTGACGTGCTGTCCGTTTTACAAACAAGTTATTTTTCTGCTTCTTCACCCTCTGAATTTTCCTCCCCATCCCTCTTCCTTCAGCCATCACAACAACAATCAAGTCAGATCTGTCAAATTAAACACCTCTTCCCAAAGCGTGACTTCCCTATTGAGGGGGTAGGGCAGTAGGGCCTAACCCGATTGGCCAAATATACTAACATGCAGAACGTATGGTATGTTTGAAAAAGACTAAGCATCCATCCAGTTCAAGCTGTCTTTAAGATGTGACATCGCGCTCTGACTTTTTCCCGTAAAATCGTGACAAACTATTGCTTATTATTAAATTTGACCTCTTGCTGCTTGGTTGAAAATGATAGATGAAAAATAACTTTTTAAAAAGAGTCAAACAGCGAGGGACATTATACGGGTGAAAGAAACTCTCATTTCTACAGATAACTCCCCCCCACTCAACGCAATAAGTCCCACCCCACTCAGCAAATCATCCAAAACTAAGGACCCCACTAAGACGAACAGATTTTCTTTAAGACTGTGACTCTTAAAGGCACTTTGGGATTTTAGTAAGACAATCCAGTTTTCTGGAAATAACTTGTTTGTTTGTTTGTAGCCTTTATTTATCCAGGTTAAAAATCCCATTGAGATCAACGATCTCTTTTACAAGGGAGACCTGCGGTACATTGAGTTACACATATGAAAACAAACAGAAAACAAAAAGGACATCACAACATAATTACAGGGGTATACATTAGCATCTATTTACATTTACAGGTATCCAATAATATTTCATCCAGTCGTGCTTTAAAATGATGCAAGGGAAGTTGAGTTTCAATATTTTTTGCATAGTGTTCCAAGCTAGAGGAGCAGCGCACATAAAAGCTTTAGCACCTAAAACAGTCCTAGCACTTTGCACATGTAATAAAAACACATCCTGTGATCTCAGGCAATAGCTACTTGCCACTCTCCGTGAGATCAAGGAGCAGATATAAGAAGGTAGTTTACCCAGCATGGCTTTGTAGATGAACATGTACCAATGACTGAGCCTCCGAACAGTTAGTGAAGGCAGACCTGCCTTGGCATACAGGGTACAGTGATGAGTAAGTGCTTTACAGTTAGTAACAAATCTCAGAGCACTGTGATAGGCGGCATCTAACCTTTCCAGGCAATGGGCAGGTGCATTCATGTAGATCAAATCACCATAGTCTAGCACAGGTAAAAAGGTCACAGAGCCTTTTCCTGGCTTCAAAAGAGAAACAGGACTTGTTTCTGAAAAAGAAACCTAATCTAACCCTCAGCTTTTTAAGCAGATTAGTGACGTGAAGTTTAAAAGTAAGACAATCATCAAGCCAGATACCAAGGTATTTATAATAGCTAACCACTTGGAGTACTTGTCCTTGCATAGTCACAATATCCAAAGCAGTCTCTGGAGTCTTTTTAGCTTTAGAAAAGAGCATTACTTTGGTTTTCTCAACATTTAAAAGAAGCTTTAGTTCAGAGAGCTGAGTCTGAATAATGTTAAAAACAGCCTGTAATTTAACAACAGCCTCCTTGATGGAGGGACCTGCACAGTACATCACGGTGTCATCCGCATAAAAATGCAAAGTAGCTTCATCCACATTTTCACCTAAACTATTGATGTAGATGGAGAATAAAAGTGGACCTAAAACAGAACCTTGAGGAACACCATTAGCAATGTTCAACCACTCAGAAGACAGCCCATCAAAGTGAACACATTGGGACCTTTCAGAGAGGTAGTTCACAAACCACCCCACTGCATGGCTGGATAAGCCAATACTGAGTAGCCTTTGCTTTAAGATGTGATGATCGACGGTATCAAACGCTTTGGAAAGGTCAATAAATAGAGCTGCACAGCTCTGCTTATTATCTAAAATACTTGTAATGTCATTCACCACTTTCATTGTGGCAGTGATGGTGCTATGTTGCTTTCTGAAGCCTGACTGATGTTTTGACAGGATGTCATTTGTACATAAAAACACCTTTACCTGTTCACTCACTAGGCGTTCAAGAACCTTAGCCAGAACTGACAATTTAGAGATGGGTCTATAGTTATTTAAAACAGTTGCCTCCCCTCCTTTCAGCAAAGGCAGGACATACGCTGACTTCCACAGTTTTGGAATTGTGTTTGTGCTGAGGGAGAGGTTAAAAAGAGTAGTGAGAGGTGGAGCAATAAAATCTGCAGCTATCTTTAAAAAGAAAGGTTCTACGTTGTCCGGGCCGGCCGGTTTCTTAGGATCTAACTTGGTTAAAGCTTCACGAACAACATCAACAGTAAAAGGAGTAAAACTGAAAGGGTTTTCCAGACCACATTGTTCAGAGTCACCGACTGTGGAGTTCACAAAAGCAGAGTTAGTCACAGAATCAAACATAGAACCGCAGGACACAAAATGCTCATTAAAACAATTTAACATAGTAGCCCTGTCCGATATAGAGCCAGATGCTGTGGTAATGCACGGAGGTAGCTCATTTCGGATCTCACCGGTGGATAGCGATTTTATGGCTTTCCAAAATTTCCTAGGATTATTTAGGTTTTCTGTAGTAACTGACAAATAGTACTTCGACTTAGCATTTTTGACCTGTGAAGTGAAGCTATTTCTTAGTTGCCTAAAACGCAGCCATTCAACCTCTGAGCCTGATTTCCTAGCCTTTGCCCAGGCCTTGTTTCTCTCATGTAGGAGACTGGACAGTTCAGCAGAAAACCAAGGATTGTCTCGTCCCTTTACTCTAAAAGTACGTAGGGGTGCATGTCTATCTATAATTTCCATAAAACCAAGATAAAAATAAGACCATGCAGTTTCAAAATCAGCACACAGATCGATTTTTCCCCAATCAAACCCAAACAGATCATGAACAAAACCCTGCTCCACAAAATGTTTTATGTGTCTCTTAATAATAATACGGGGTTTAACCTTTTGGACCTTAGTGTCCCTAATTGTGGCTACAACACAGTGGTCACTCACATCATTTGCAAATACTCCCACAGATGGGTATTTATAGGGAACATTAGTTAGAATGAGATCAATTAGGGATGATTTATTAGGGGACTTAACGTTAGGGCGAGTAGGACTATCTACAATCTGAGTAACATTCAGAGAGATACAAAGGTTTTTAAAATCCTCTGATACTGCAGTTAACCAGTCCCAGTTAAAATCTCCAAGTAGCACTATTTCCTTGTAGTCTAGTTGTGATAAAAGTGTTGCTAGTGAAGACAAGGAGTCCTTGACAGCTGAGGGGGGTCTGTAACACCCTACCACCATGACTTGTTGCCCCTTTGCCACTTCTATATTTAAGGCTAAAAATTCGAATTGCTTACTGACAGATTTGGAGATCAATGTGGTTACACTGAACTTATTCTTAACATAAATGGCAACTCCACCACCTTTATTAGGCCGGTCGGTACGATACACATTATAGCCATTTAAGGATATGTCAGAGGCCAAAATAGTTTTATTTAGCCATGTTTCTGATAACACAATGACGTCAGCGTCAGTCGAGCTTGCCCAAATGCGGACAAAATCTAGTTTACCTAACAGACTGCGCACATTCAAGTGGATGAAACCCAACCCAGACCTAGCTTTAAAATCAGCAGGAGTAGCGATCTGACTACTACTACTGGGCGGACCAGGGTTAGGTTGAACATTTCCTGACAGTAATAATAACAAAAAAAACAGGCATCTTTTCCTCTTAATCGACACACACACATTGTCATCTATTTTAGAATCACCGGAAAAGTCTGCGAGAGTGTGATTTGAGCTTAAGAAGCAGTCTTGAAGTACCATCATCGCAGGCAAACAAAAAAGACAAACATATTTTGTCGAGCAGATTGTCTGTGACAAGGTGACCGGTAACTGTTTGTGTAACACATCCGACCCTTTGCAGGGGATGCCTACTGCGGGTGGCAGAACAGACCTGAATCCAGTAGGCTTCTCAGGATGACTAGAGATCTTCTCATAGTCCAGAACAGTTAACAGGCACAGCAGAATCACGATATGGGCCATCCTCCCAGACCAGCACACAATATCCGCGATGTACCCGGGGCAAAAATCCTCCTCCTCACAGCAGCAAAGGACAGGCGAAAGCAGCAGCGAGGAAGCGCACCGGTCCCTCCGTGGTATCCCCGGGATAAGAGGTCTCCTCAGCAAGCAGCACACGACACTGGAACACACGACAGGTGGGAGCAGGCCTCCGTAACAGCAGAACCAGGACAGGTGGAGAGCAGGCCCCAGCCGCGGCAGATCCTCCTCCGCACAGCAGCACACGCCCGGTGAAAGCAGGCCCCAGCCCGAAGCGTGGAGCCACTCTACAGGCGGGAGCAGGTCTCCGTAGATCGTAGATGACCTGATTGTGGTTTCAGTAGTGTGTAGGGTGTGAGAGTAATTCACAGATATTGCCCTAATTCTGCCGCTTATTCATGCGACGAACATCGTCGAGAAAGTCTAAGGACAACGTTGTGGCAAATACTACTGTATAGAAAAAGGCACCTAAATCACATCAAAAACGTTTTAAAGTAACGAGCATATGGATGCACGGACAAGCGCTGAAAACTTGCATCCGAATCTTCCGGGTGCGTAACCGGAAGTGACTTAAATGATTTTAGTTTTTTCTCCTACAAAGATACTTATAGTTACACTTTAATGGATGCTAAACTTTATAACTTGGTAAAATATTCATTAATTTGTAATGAATTGAGTTTCTTTTGTCAATCACCAAGTTTCAAGGCTTTATGGCATATGCCCATTAGCTATAGTGTAGATATGTCAATGAAAAACATAGGTCACAGGCTCCTCCAACAGTGCAACAAATATATATATATATATATATATATATATATATATATATATATATATATATATATAGAGAGAGAGCACATAAAACAGATAAAATACTGCAATAGAATGTTTTGATATGACAGATTTGTGCGTAATTCTCTCACAAAGGAACTGTAAGATACACGTTTATGTATGCAAAAACTTAAAACTAGAAAAAATGAAATACTTTGTCTAAATAGATGTTATTTAAGAATGTGACTCTAAAAGGCAAGTTTGTGATTTTAACACTTTTCTACTGACACTAGGCAGATTTAGGCCCCGCTCACACGGGAACGTTTACGTTTATGCACAGTATGCATATTCAAAAAAGTCTTCCGTTCACATGCATTCGTTTCATTTAACGTGTCTGTTCAAACGAGGCCGCTGGAAACGCTGTAGTACATATGCCGGGACTGTAAGTGGCGCTGTAACTTCCGCCAAAATACACCAAAAGCAGCGAAGAAGAGCAGCCCAGCAGCCCCGCCGCAATGTTGCCATGGCTACCCTTCTGTTCATGCCCCGCGGTGTATTTAGCAACATGTAGTTCATGTAATTCTCCATGTCCACTTGTTGCTGATGGTTGTGGTAGAGGAGCTGTAGATTTTTGCACTAATATCTGTAGCATGGTCAGTAGCAGTAGCACTAGCAGTAGCTACTGACAGGAGGAAGTGTGTGTGGCGATTGCTGGTAATCAGCGGGATATAGTAATTTCCTCAGCATATGGATAAATGCAACGGGGAAGTTAACTGAAAGAAACCGAATCTGTGGATATTGCATCGACCGACCAAGAAGCACGTCTCCGTGGAGAGGACCCGCTCAGAAAGAGAGATATTCTCTACAAACACCGGGTGAGATCCTCCTTTGTCAATATAATGGATCAATGCATGAAATCTGACTCTGTTTATTTTGTTTAAGGAGTATATTGGGCGTTAACAATTCTGGTTTGCCTTTTATAATATTATTTCATTCAAGAACCCCTTGTGCGTTTAATTAACACAGCTATTTTTGATAGTTGCTACAGCAGTGAGCAGGAGAGGCGGGGCTATCGCTATTTTTTCAGGAAATATTTGTATAGAGGTGATTACACGGACTCGGTTGACCCTCCAGAGCGTATCGTTTGCAAATCTATCCACCTTGGGACCCGTTATCGTTTGTGGGGTCAGTTTCTATCGGCCTCGTGTAAATAATAGGGCTATACGCACGCGAAACTATGCAGATACAAGCCGTTTTCTCCTCGTGTAAACGGCGCCTTAGCTTTTAGGTCAGAGGGTGAATACAGGCATACTTGGTCATAGTATTTGGGGTAAGGTGAGGTGTTATCACGTGCAGGTGTGATATTCCCCCCTGTAGTCGATCCTTTGTTGTCTAATCTAATTAGCCTTTGATGTCTTGTTAAAGAATTATTTAACAAGATTTTTGAAGCCTTGCTGAAGAAACAAATAATTATTTTCTAGCATCCGTTTGTAACTTTTTAGGAATCTGACTATCTTTTAGAATTGCATCAAATGCTATAGCCACTTCTGTAGCCTTACAGAAACACTGAAACACAGAAAACACAGAAGCACAGAAAAACACAAAACACTGAAACACAAAACACTGAAACACTGAAACACAAAACACAGAAACACAGAAACACAGAAGCACAGAAACACAAAAAAAAAACACAGAAACACCGAAACACAAAACACTGAAACACAAAACATAAAACACTGAAACACAAAACACAGAAACACTGAAACACTGACACACAAACAACACAGAAACACAGAAACACAGAAACACAAAACACTGAAACACGGAAACACAGAAACACACAAAAACACAGAAACACGGAAACACAAAACACGGAAACACGGAAACACTGAAACACAAAACACAGAAACACAGAAACACAGAAACACAGAAACACGGAAACACAGAAACACAGAAACACGGAAACACGGAAACACAAAACACTGAAACACGGAAACACAGAAACACAAAAACACAGAAACACGGAAAACTATTAAACAGCCCTGCTATATACTATGACCATTCTTTACTTATTTATAATATGGTTCAAATTGAATAATTTGAGTTGTCTGATGCACTTGATACAATTTTACTTTATAAAATACTGATGTGTTTATTCAAAACCATTTCAACACACAATGTCATGACTTTTCAAGATTTTTTTGTCAAACTATACTATGACTTTCTCTCATTTTTTTTTTAGAGATCCTATACTGACATTGCAGACAAACTATATAATATAATTCTTAACTACATACTATACTTGGACTTTTTTCAAGATATTTTTAACATACTATACTAGTACTTTTAAAATAAATGTTCATACATTCTACACTGTGACTCTTTTTTTAAATGATATGTAGGAAATACTATACTATGATTTGAAGACAACAGTTTTTTAAAATGTAAAAACACTTTTTTTATTTGCAGAATTTCATATTTACAATTTATTGTTTTCACCCCATAGGAATCAATAATACATTTATACTTATTGCAACATCCCCAGGATCTTCTCCAGCACAGAATCCCCCAGATGAAGGGAAATATTATAATGGAGTTTTTGCACTTCGGCCAAAGTATTCATGTGTATGCTGTTTTTGACACAAAGATGCATTACATCTGCAAACAGAGCATACAATGCGAGCACATGATACACTTTTGGTGTTTGTTTCATTTCTTCGGTAATGTTACAGAATGTTTCGGAAAATGAAGATTCCAGTACCACTTTAAATGTTTCCCAATGACCCGGAATAGTACTGCCAGAATGAACGATATCCAAAATGTCTTCTAGTTTACAAACTTTAGCCATTCTGTTTACACGGGGATCACTACTCATTCTGTTTTCAATCGTCATCAACAACACACTTATTAAACAGGTATTGACTGCATTCTGATACATATATACAGATTGTTTTCCATAGTAGTGACCCATTTTTTATTTTACTTTAAAGAAAAGTCAAAGTATCGGAAAAAAAAAAAAAAATCCCTGGCTTCAATCAACCGCTGGTTATTAGTTTTCTTCTTCTCCATCCAGCTCGGCATGGATCTTTTCAAGTCTCTCCTTGAGGCGTCTGCAGTTTTTGAGATTGTGCAGAAAAGCCTCCGAAGCGCCTTGGATCCTCCATTCAGCCGTGTAAATGTTTTTATCATTAAGCCTCTGGTCAATCACAGTAATGAAGTCGGCGAGCCAAAGTCTTTTCATTAACACGTTGTAATTGTTTCTGAAGAAATATTCTGGAATGTCATTCAGACAATCGTGTTGCCTCTGGCCGGGGTGACTGACTCGGCATCCATTGCAGATTTCTTCTCTGTACCGATGCAGCACCCTCTCCAGAATATCAACCAACTCCGATTTCACTATGTTCAAAAACAGAGACGTCTTGGCCCAAGGAGTAACATCAGCAGCAGTAGTACTGCAAGATTTGGGTGTCCACAATGGTGCTGATGATAGTAGTCCAGGAGTTTGTTCCTGGCTGCAACTCGCGGGGGGAGACTTGGTTTTTCTCAGATCCCTGGCTAGTTTTCAACGGTCGTCTTAGTGGGGTCCTTCGTTTTAGATGATTTGCTGAGTGGGGGGTGGACTTATTGCGTTGAGTGGGGGGAGTCATCTGTAGAATTGAGAGTTTTTAGAAAGTTCTTTAAGCTTTGTAGCTTTTTCATCTATCATTTCCAACCAAGCAGCAAGAGGTCAAATTTAAGAATAAGTAATAGTTTGTCACGATTTTACGGAAAAAGTCAAAGTATAGTTTGTCAGAAAAAAAATATATATGGAAAAGTCATTGTGTACAATAGTATGTTGAAAAACAAAAACAAAAAAGAAACTCAATTCATTACAAATTAATGAATATTTTACCAAGTTATAAAGTTTTGCATCCATTAAAGTGTAACTATAAGTATCTTTGTAGGAGAAAAAACAAAAATAATTTAATTTACTTCCATAAAACTGGATTGTCTTACTAAAATCCCAGAGTGCCTTTAAGAGTCATAGTCTTAAAGAAAATCTGTTCAGAAAAAGTACTTAACTTTCTACCAGTTGTAAAGTTGTCATACATAAAACTGTATCCAAAAAGTAAGTGAAAGACAACGGGAGAAAAAATAAAAGTGTTAAAATCACCAACTTCCCTTTTAGAGTCACAGTCTTTAAGAAAATACATTTGTTACAAAATAATTGACATTCTACCAGTTGTCAAATGTTCCTACATAAAAGTGTATCAAAAAAGTATCTTGGTAGCTGAAAATAACTAAAATATCAGAGAAAACCTACATTGTTTAACTGAACAAGTGTTTTAAAAAAAAAACGGGGTATTAAAGAAACCCCCATTCCTTACAAAGTACTTCATATTATACCCTTTTGTTAAGTGTTGCATACATCAAAGTGTATCTAAAAGTATCTTGGTAACACAAGAAAAGAGAAAAAAGTCAAAATCTGCCTTGTGTCAGTAAATAAGTGTTAAAAATCACAAACTTGCCTTTTAGAGAAACAGTCTTTAAGAAAGAATCTAATCAGACAATGTACTTCATTTTCTAGTTTTAAGGTTTTGCATACCTCAAAGTGTGTCTAAAAGTATCTTGGCAAGAGAAAAAAGCCAAAATCTGCCTAGTGTCAGTAAATAAGTGTTAAAATCACAAACTTGCCTTTTAGAGTCACAGTCTTTAAGAACATAAATGTGTTACAAAGTGATTGACATTCTACCAGTTGTAAAGTTTTCAGACAACAAACTGTATCTAAAAGTATCTTGGTAGCAGAAAAAAGCAAAAATCAGTAAAGTCATCAAAAAACGACATTGTTTAACTGGATTGTCTTACTTAAATCAAAAAGCTGCCATTAAGAATCACATTCTTAAATAACATCTATTTAGACAAAGTATTTGATTTTTCTAGTTTTAACTTTTTGCATACCTCAAAGTGTATCTAAAAGTGTCTTGGCAAGAGAAAAAAGCCTAAATATGCCGAGTGTCAGTAGAAAAGTGTTAAAATCACAAAACTTGCCTTTTAGAGTCACAGTCTTTAAGAAAATAAATGTGTTACATCAAAAGGCTTGTTAGATTAGACAACAAAGGATCGACTACAGGGGGGAATATCACACCTGCACGTGATAACACCTCACCTCACCCCAAATACTATGACCAAGTATGCCTGTATTCACCCTCTGACCTAAAAGCTAAATCTGCCTAGTGTCAGTAGAAAAGTGTTAAAATCACAAACTTGCCTTTTAGAGTCACATTCTTAAATAACATCTATTTAGACAAAGTATTTCATTTTTTCTAGTTTTAACTTTTTGCATACATAAACGTGTATCTTACAGTTCCTTTGTGAGAGAATTACGCACAAATCTGTCATATCAAAACATTCTATTGCAGTATTTTATCTGTTTTATGTGCTCTATATATATATATATATATATATATATATATATATATATTTGTTGCATTGTTGGAGGAGCCTGTGACCTATGTTTTTCATTGACATATCTACACTATAGCTAATGGGCATATGCCATAAAGCCTTGAAACTAGGTGATTGACAAAAGAAACTCAATTCATTACAAATTAATGAATATTTTACCAAGTTATAAAGTTTTGCATCCATTAAAGTGTAACTATAAGTATCTTTGTAGGAGAAAAAACAAAAATCATTTAAGTTATTTCCAGAAAACTGGATTGTCTTACTAAAATCCCAAAGTGCCTTTAAGAGTCACAGTCTTAATGAAAATCTGTTCGTCTTAGTGGGGTCCTTAGTTTTGGATGATTTGCTGAGTGGGGTGGGACTTATTGCGTTGAGTGGGGGGGAGTTATCTGTAGAAATGAGAGTTTCTTTCACCCGTATAATGTCCCTCGCTGTTTGACTCTTTTTAAAAAGTTATTTTTCATCTATCATTTTCAACCAAGCAGCAAGAGGTCAAATTTAATAATAAGTAATAGTTTGTCACGATTTTACGGGAAAAAGTCAGAGCGCGATGTCACATCTTAAAGACAGCTTGAACTGGATGGATGGTTAGTCTTTTTCAAACATACCATACGTTCTGCATGTTAGTATATTTGGCCAATCGGGTTAGGCCCTACTGCCCTACCCCCTCAATAGGGAAGTCACGCTTTGGGAAGAGGTGTTTAATTTGACAGATCTGACTTGATTGTTGTTGTGATGGCTGAAGGAAGAGGGACGGGGAGGAAAATTCAGAGGGTGAAGAAGCAGAAAAATAACTTGTTTGTAAAACGGACAGCACGTCAGTTTCAGGAAAGATGACACCGGTTTTATGCATGACATGCCAAATATCCTGAAGTATATTGTGTTGAAAATATCGCAAAAAGTCGTAATATTGTATAATGTATTAGTTGCATGTTGTATTTTGATAAAAATCACTGTATATTCAAAAATATAATGGAAAAAGGAGAGAAAAACAAATATCACAGTATGTTGAAAAATATGAAAAAAGTAATGTTGTGTTAAAATAACATGAAAGAAATCAAAGTAAAGCATCTAAAAACATATATTTAAAAGTCAAGTTATCAAAACTGCATTGTTTCATCGAAACAGTGTTAAAATCACAAACTCTCCATTTAGAGTTTGATTCTTTAAGAAACTCAATTCATTACAAATTCATTAATATTTTACCAAGTTATAAAGTTTTGCATACATAAACGTGTATCTTACAGTTCCTTTGTGAGAGAATTACGCACAAATCTGTCATATCAAAACATTCTATTGCAGTATTTTATCTGTTTTATGTGCTTTATATATATATATATATATTTGTTGCACTGTTGGAGGAGCCTGTGACCTATGTTTTTCATTGACATATCTACACTGTAGCTAATGGGCATATGCCATAAAGCCTTGAAACTTGAAACTTAAAATGATCAGAAACTGCATTGTCTCACTGAAAACAGCTCTAAAGAAAACCCAATTCCATACAAAGTACTTAACTTTCTACCAGTTGTAAAGTGTTGCTCACTTCAAAAGTGTATCTAAAAAGTATCTTAGTAACAAAAACAAAAGCAAAAAGCATTAATGTGAACAACGCCTCAAAGGGCGGACTCCTGAGTTCCGTAATGTCCCCCTACCATGGCACTTGGACTATTTACATCATCCAGGGCTCAACACCAGTAAATACACCTCTCTTTATCCGCTCTCCAAGCCTCCAAGGGCGGACTCCTGAGTTCCGTAATGTCCCCCTAACATGACACTTAGACTATTTACATCATCTAGGGAAGCACACCAGTAAATCTTCCTTATAGTTAATAAAGTAATTAAACAATAAAAAGACAATACCATGGGGTCATTAAGATCTTTAAATTATTATTACCCTCTTCAGAGAGACTTCGTTGTAGTTAATAAAGTAATTAAACATTAGTTCACAAGCCATACAGCTTAAGAGAGCATCCAGTTCACAAGCCCTACAATTTCAAAAGAACATCCTTAGTTAACATCAACTTCATAGGGGGTTTAAAAGTTGTGTGAAGTAACTAAACATTACAAATACAATATCAGGGGGTGATTAACCTCTTTTTTAATTATTATTACCCTCTTTCAAAAAGAGAGTCCCTTGTAGTTAATAAAGTAATTAAACATTAGGTCTTTTTTTAAAGTTTAGGTGACTTGGTGAGTGGAAATGACTGGCTTTTTATCTAGTTTGCACGGATTTCTTTTTTACCTAGCACCACCCCTCACTATCTTCTGGCATCACAGCAAAAGGAAGGGGGGTGACAGGGAGGGTGAGAGGGGGACGGGGTGCGAGACAGTCTCACACAACTTCAAAGAGACTGCCTTAATTAACACTAGTTACAAACACTGATCAAAGGACAGACTTCAGAGGCTAATTAGATTGACATCAAAGGCTTATAACATGCCGGTGTGATATCACCCCGGCATGTTATAACACCTCACCCCCCTTACATCAAAGGACATACATCAAAGGGCTAATTAGATTGAGATCAAAGGCTTATAACATGCCGGTGTGATATCACACCTACATGTTACAGCACCTCACCCCCCTCACATCAAAGGATATCACACCTGTCTGATATCACACCTACACGTGATAACACCTCGAACAAAGGGGCTCATTCGCATATCAAAGGAGGTCATTAGCACAAGTAGTAGTAGGTGTGACCTGTCACACCACCTGTCACTTTTTATGCATACTAATGTGATTGAAACAGGATCAGTACTACTACTTAGGTGGCTGGTTACATAACTCATTCAAACATTCAACAAATGAAGACAACTGTCTCCCCTCTTTAAACAGTGACACCCATAGTGATAAACTGTAATAGGCCTTAAACTCAATTTACCAAACCACTTATGTTTGTATGTACTGTGATTATAGAACATGAAATAAAATGCATTTTCATTGTGGGTTATCCAAGAATATATTTGATTATATTTGAATATAATTGATTATATGAACTTTTGTTTTAATTATTCAACTTAATATGGAAACCTCAACAAGGTATACTGTTTTAGAGCATAGACAGTAAGCTGTTTTATAAATATGTTAAACTTTGTCTGTTTTTATTGTTAGATTCTTAAAAGCATTTTCTTATTCTCATGTTTCCCGCTCTTTCAGCAGGTAGTGGTCTGCAGGAGGTTTTAGATGAACATAGGCTCAGTCTGAGGAGGAGATGTGAACATGTGACTGAAGGAACTGATGAAAGTGAAACCCTCCTCAACAGGATCTTCACTGAGCTCTACATCACACAAGGCCAGAGTGAAGAGGTTAATACCCAACATGAGGTGAGGCAGCTGGAGACAGCTTCCAAGAAAGAGACCCTCCATGACACTCCAATCAAGTGCCAGGACATCTTTAAAGCCTTACCTGACCAACAGACTCACATCAGAGCGGTCCTGACCAACGGGGTGGCTGGAGTTGGAAAAACCTTCTCAGTGCAGAAGTTCACTCTGGACTGGACCGAGGGTTTGGAAAACCAAGATGTCAGTCTGGTGATCCCGCTCTCCTTCAGGGAGCTGAACCTGATTAAAGGTGAGCAGTACAGTCTTCTCAGGCTGCTCCATGTTTTCCATCCAACCTTACAGAAGGTCACAGCAGAGCAGCTGGCTGTCTGCAAAGTGCTGCTCATCTTTGACGGCCTGGATGAAAGCAGACTTTCTCTGGATTTCAGAAACAATGAGGTTGTGTCTGATGTCTCACAGCAGTCCTCAGTCAACGTGCTGCTGACAAACCTCATCAGGGGGAAGCTGCTTCCCTCAGCTCTCGTCTGGATAACTTCCAGACCTGCAGCGGCCAATCAGATCCCTCCTGAGTGTGTGGACAGGGTAACAGAAGTACGAGGCTTCACTGACGCCCAGAAGGAGGAGTACTTCAGGAGGAGATCGAGTGATGAAGACCTGTCCAGCAGAATCATCTCTCACATCAAGAGCTCCAGGAGCCTCCACATCATGTGTCTGATCCCAATCTTCTGCTGGATCACTGCTGCAGTTCTGGACCACATGTTGACTACAGACCAGAGAGGAGAGCTGCCCAAGACCCTCACTAACATGTACTCACACTTCCTGCTGGTCCAGACAAAGAGGAAGAAGCGGAAGTATGATGAGGGACATGAGACGAGTCCACAGCAGCTGACGGAGGCTGACAGGGAGGTTCTTCTGAAGCTGGGGAGGCTGGCGTTTGAACATCTGGAGAACGGAGACATCATGTTCTACCAAGAAGACCTGCAGCGCTGTGGTCTTGATGTCACAGAGGCCTTGGTGCACTCAGGAGTTTGTACAGAGATCTTCAAAAGAGAGAGTTTGATCTTCCAGAAAACAGTCTACTGCTTTGTTCATCTGAGCATTCAAGAGTTTCTGGCTGCAGTCTACATGTTGCACTGTTACACCAACAGAGACACAGAGGTACTGAAGGACTTCCTGCAGGGAGACTATAGCTACAGGTATAGCAGTGATCAGGATTACCCATCACTGGATGTCTTCCTAAAGGGAGCCATGGAGAAATCCCTCAGAAGTGAAAATGGCCACCTGGACCTGTTTGTCCGCTTTCTCCACGGCCTCTCTCTGGAGTCCAACCAGAGACTCTTAGGAGGCCTGCTGGGTCGCACAGACAAGCGTCCAAAAATCATCAAGAGACTCTTCAAAGGCCTGCTGGGTCGCACAGACATCCAGAGAGCCATCAAGAACCTGAAGAAGATGAGCAGTGATGATATCTCTCCTGACAGGAGCATCAACATCTTCCACTGTCTGACAGAGATGAAGGACCACTCGGTACATCAGGAGATCACAGAGTTCCTGAAGTCAGAGAATAGATCAGGGAAGGAACTATCTGAGATTCACTGCTCTGCTCTGGCCTACATGCTGCAGATGTCAGAGGAGGTCCTGGATGAGTTTGACCTGAAGAAGTACAAAACATCAGATGAGGGACGACGGAGACTGCTTCCAGCTGTGAGGAACTGCAGGAAGGCCAAGTAAGTCCATATGTGATTAACTTTATAAACTAATGTGGATCAGGAGTTTAATTATTCAAATAAACAGATAAATACTGAGAGCAAAATAAAACCAACACTGTTCTTCTATTTATTTATAATAATAATAATAGTTAAATTGAACCGTTTCTCTCTTCATATTGGGTGATGGAGGCGACATGTCAAACACATGAAGGACCTTAGAGGTTTCTCAGCATGTGATCAAACCACACTGCAGGACTTACAGTTATCAGAGAAATGTCAGGGTTGAGTGAAGCAGGCAGGACCCAAATGCAGATTTCCAAGATAATTCCTTTAATCCAAGGTAACAAAGTAGAAGACAGAACACTACCCTGTGACACAGTCAAAGACACATAAGGAACCAACAATGACAGACAGAAAAACCAGAACTAAAATACACACAAGACCAATCACACAAACAAGACACAGGTGAGGAGGGAGGAGAAAACACAGGGGCACCAGGTGAACACATTCGGGCAATCAGGCAGGAGGGAACACAGACACAGGAAGCAACAGGCAAGACGGGGGTGAACACTTTTCAAAACAAAACAGGAAACCAAAGACAGAAAAAGACAAGACAAAACACAACACAGACAGATCGTGACAGTACCCCCCCCTCAAGGGACGGATCCCAGACGTCCCAAAAAGTCCCCAAAAGTCCAAAAAATTCCAGCAGGGTGGGTGGAGGGGGTCTGGAGGACGGGTTTGGGCTGACAGCCCAGGGGCACAGCGGAGGACCCGGAAGGGGTCTCGGGCAGACGGCCCGGGGGCAAGGCAGAGATCAAGGACGGGGTCTCGGGCGGATGGCCCGGGGGCAAGGCAGGGGAGTTAAAAAAAGGGCGAAGATCACAGCGGGCGAACTCAGTGGGCCGGGCATGAGAGCAAAGGCAGCGGCTGAAAGAGTCAGAAGGCCGGGCTCAAGGGCGAAGGCCACGGCTGGGGAAATCAGGGGGCCGGGCTCGAGGGCGAACAAGAAGGCGGCGACGGGACAGCTCCGGAGGCCGGGCAGGAAGGCGGCGACGGGACAGCTCCGGAGGCCGGGCAGGAAGGCGGCGACGGGACAGCTCCGGAGGCCGGGCAGGAAGGCGCCGACGGGACAGCTCCGGAGGCCGGGCAGGAAGGCGCCGACGGGACAGCTCCGGAGGCCGGGCAGGAAGGCGCCGACGGAACAGCTCCGCAGGACGGGCAGGAAGGCGCCGACCGGACAGCTCCGGAGGACGGGCAGGAAGGCGCCGACGGAACAGCTCCGGAGGACGGGCAGGAAGGCGCTGACGGGACAGCTCTGGAGACCGGGCAGGAAGGTGCTGACGGGACAACACCGGAGGACGGGCAGGACCCAGTATCGGCCGGACAAGAACCGGAGCCGACCGGACAGGCGCAGACGGGACCCCGAACATGGCATGGGCTGGTGTCAATGGGACCCCGGATGTAGCAAGGGCTGGTGTCGACTGGACCCCCAACGGAACAGGACACAGAGCTGGCAGGACCCCCGGCGGGACAGGTGTCGGCGGGACCCCCAACAGGACAGGACATGGGGCTGGCAGGACCCACAGCGGAACAGGTGTTGGCAGGAAACCCGGCGGAGCAGCAGTCGGCGGGACCCCCAACAGGACAGGATATGGTGTAGGCAGGAAACCCGGCGGAGCAGGTGTCGGCGGAACCCCCAACAGGACAGGATCTGATGTTGGCAGGAAATCCGGCGGAGCAGGTGTCGGCGGAACCCCCAACAGGACAGAATCTGGGGTTGGCAGGGCCCACAGCGGAACAGGTGTTGGCAGGATCTCCAACGATACTGGACGTGGAGTTGGCAGGACCCTCAGCGGAACCCCCAACGGCACAGGACATAGGGTTGGCAGGACCCCCGGCAGAAGAGTAGTCAGCGGGACCCCCAACGGAACAGGACATAGGATTGGCAAGACCCCCGGCAGAAGAGTAGTCGGCGGGACCTCCAACGGCACAGGACATAGGGTTGGCAGGACCCCCGGCAGAAGAGTAGTCGGCGGGACCCCCAATGGGACAGGACATGGAGTTGGCAAGACCCCCGGCAGGAGAGTAGTCGGCGGGACCCCCAACAGAACAGGACATAGGATTGGCAAGACCCCCGGCAGAAGAGTAGTCGGCGGGACCCCCAATGGGACAGGACATGGAGTTGGCAAGACCCCCGGCAGGAGAGTAGTCGGCGGGACCCCCAACGGAACAGGACATAGGATTGGCAAGACCCCCGGCAGAAGAGTAGTCGGCGGGACCTCCAACGGCACAGGACATAGGGTTGGCAGGACCCCCGGCAGAAGAGTAGTCGGCGGGACCCCCAATGGGACAGGACATGGAGTTGGCAAGACCCCCGGCAGGAGAGTAGTCGGCGGGACCTCCAACGGCACAGGACATAGGGTTGGCAGGACCCCCGGCAGAAGAGTAGTCGGCGGGACCTCCAACGGGACAGGACATAGGGTTGGCAGGACCCCCGGCAGAAGAGTAGTCGGCGGGACCTCCAACGGGACAGGACATGGGGTAGGCGTCGGCCGTAGAGCCAACAGGATACGGGGGGCTGGCGTCGGCCGGAGAGCCAACAGGTGACGAGATGCTGGAGTCGGCCGGACCACCGACAGGACACGAGGGGCTGGAGTGGAATCCACAGGTGGATTGGAGGAGGCAGGAAATGCAGCAGACGTCCAAGTTGAGACCTGAGCAGCAAGGTTTGAGATGTGTAGAGCCATGGACTGATTGCTTTCAACTAAGGCTCGCATCATCTGCTCATGTTGGCCCAGAAGATTTCCCTGATGAGAAATGGCGTGCTGGACCAGAACAGAGGCCGGAACCATGGCTGCTGGGGCCAGAACTAGGGCTGGAACCATGGCTGTATGGGCCGGTTCTGGAGCCGGAACCATGGCTGTGTGGGCCGGTTCTGGAGCCGGAACTGGAGTCGGAACCATGACTGCTAGGACCGGAACAGAGACCTGGACCATGGCTGTATGGGTCGGTTCTGGAGCCGGAACCATGGCTGTTGGGACCAGAACTGGGGCTGGAACCATGGCTGCTGGGGCCAGAACTGGGGCCGGAACCATGGCTGCTGGGGCCAGCACTGGGGCCGGAACCATGGCTGCTGGGGCCAGAACTGGGGCTGGAACCATGGCTGTGTGGGCCGGTTCTGGAGCCGGAACCATGTCTGTGTGGGCCGGTTCTGGAGCCGGAACCATGGCTGCTGGGGCCTGTACTGGAGCCCAAAGCATGGCTTCTGGGGCTCGGGCTGCTAGCCTGGACTTGCGACTCCTTCTCTTAGGAGCCTTTTGGAGGCTCCGTGGACCTCCAAAAGCCAGACGAGTGCCCGAGAACGGCTCCTGGACAGGAGCAGGAAATGGGGAAGAAGCAGGGGTTGACTCCAGATGGAACACACCGAGATGTATGGTGTCAGGTTGGGAGTTGGGAGGCAGGGGGCTAGCATGCCTGGGGCTAGCAGGCCGGGAATCACACGTCGAAAGGAAATCCAAAATCCAGTCAGGTAAGAACTTAACTAAACATGGATCCACTGTTGCCACCTGGTGAGCCTCTGCCAGAGCAGCCTCTTTCTGCTGAACACTGGACGCTCCCCTCCACCTACCATAGCAGCAAGCCAAAGAAAAGGTAACATTTTGTAAATCCACCTCAAATGGATCTGCTGGGCCCATTTCTGGTTGGTTCCTTCTGTCAGGGTTGAGTGAAGCAGGCAGGACCCAAATGCAGATTTCCAAGATAATTCCTTTAATCCAAGGTAACAAAGTAGAAGACAGAACACTACCCTGTGACACAGTCAAAGACACACAAGGAACCAACAATGACAGACAGAAAAAACAGAACTAAAATACACACAAGACCAATCACACAAACAAGACACAGGTGAGGAGGGAGGAGAAAACACAGGGGCACCAGGTGAACACAATCGGGCAATCAGGCAGGAGGGAACACAGAGACAGGAAGCAACAGGCAAGACGGGGGTGAACACTTTTCAAAACAAAACAGGAAACCAAAGACAGAAAAAGACAAGACAAAACACAACACAGACAGATCGTGACAAGAAAGATGTTATTATTACTTTCTAGTAGTTTCTTTATCATTAAACAGACACACATGTTTTTTCACAATGTATTAGAGTTTAAAGTAAGGTCTATATCATATCCCAACAATAACAGTTATGTCCTAATGCTGATATACGGGGAACATTTGATGGTATTCAGCTGAAAATATTGAAACTTTATTGGTTTGTTAATTGTGTTTGTGTGCGCAGTATATTTTCAGATGCTCAGAGAAGCCAAAACATCCTTCATCCATCACATCCAAATATGAATGAACATTTAAATATGTACATCTGTAATATTGTCAAGTGATTTGTTTAATTTCTGTTTCTTTGGTAACAGTCACTGACAGCAGGAGCACAGACATGTGATCACACTGACAACACATTCAACTCTATTATACTAAATTATTATATATAATATCACATGGAATAACAGAAAATGTCTATCAGAATAAGTCAAATATGTTTTCATCAAATGCTTGAGGTTAATATATTTCCTCTTTTTTAACATATGTTGTAATATATGTGTTATTATAGACTTACTGACTGTGGACTCTCAGAGACTGAATGTGAAGTTGTGGCCTCAGCTCTGAAGTCTGACCCCTCCCATCTGAGAGATCTGGACCTGAGTGAGAACAAGCTGAAGGATTCAGGAGTGGAGCTGCTGAGTTCTGGACTAAAGAGTCCAAACTGCAGACTGGAGACTCTCAGGTCAGTTCACTGACTGCAGTTCATACAGATCTGTTTGTATTTATCACTTTCTGAATTTGCCTGAGAACAAATACATTTTAATACATTTTCTCACTTTTGCTAATGACTGAATATTTGTCAGAATAACAGAGAGAAGATGAATGTTTTAGGGAGAGTGTTTGAGCTTCCACAGACTCACACTGTGCTCCATGAGTCAGTGGAGATGCTGTTAGTACTGATGAGCTGTGAGGGAGACGAAGGAGTTGTTAAAGATCTGATAAAAGTAAAAGTTCCAGGTTATCAATGGATTGTTTCTACATCATCGCTGACATTAAAACCCTGTTCAACTCTGAACAGATTATTAAACTTGGAGTTATTTCAAACAGGAACATTGTTTTCTAAAGTAACATCATGTTTTCTTTATTCAGACTGAGAGACAGCAGGTTGTCAGAGATCAGCTGTTCTGCTCTGATCGCAGCTCTGAAGTCCAACCCCTCCCATCTGAGAGATCTGGACCTGAGTCAGAACGATCTGAAGGATTCAGGAGTGAAGCGTCTGAGAGATCTTCTGGAGAGTCCAGACTGCAGACTGGAGGCTCTCAGGTCAGTTCTCCATCTTTAACTTCTGTGCAGAGATCAATATGTATTAATCAAAGTGCCGCTCGAGCACCGGGGCTATGTTTGCAGCTCGCGTTAGAGGCTGTACACGTGTACACGATTTCTGCTGCTTAAATGCCTCACAGAATGCAACATGGCTGCGCTAAAGTAAAAATAATAAAACAGATGGAGCATGATTTAACTTCAGGAACTAACTGTCCATACAAGTCTGGTTGGCTTGGTGGGAAAGTTTGAATATATGTAACTGGCGGTACTTTATGAATATGAAGTGTTTATCGTCTCTCTTCCAGTGTCACAGAGTAGTTATACAGCAGAGACAGCACGACAGCGCTCTGGTGACCGGACGTTTACTGACTCTCCTGCTGAATCTGACTGGCCATAGTTTATTAACCTGTTAAGCCCTGAGCCTGTTTTTCAGGTCTCAGGCTCGAAAATGACATTCCCAGAACAAATGACCATATCTTCCCTTCTAAAAGGGTTAAATTAATAATCCTTTTTCTCAAAGTAATGATAAACCTGTGAGTTGGATGTAGAAAAGTCAGAATCAATATAGATGTTTTTTATTTTAAAGAAAATTCAGATTTTACATAGTAAAAAACTGTAAATTATAGTGTCCGTCCAAAAATTCTTTTTTACTTATAGTGAAAACCACCCTTGGATGATGGGTTAGTAGACTAAAAGCTTTAGGAATCCAAAGTACAACATATAATAAGTACCCTGTATCAAGATTGATGCAAAACAAGTGACATTTGACCTTTTTAGAGAGATTCAGCAAAAAGAAACCACTTCTGGGGTCATTTGGGTGGATGTTCCATATCTCTGGCCCCCCTTGCTCGATTTTGATGGTTGACACCTCTTTCTGACCGTTAGAGCCAATAGAATTGAAGGGGGAGTCCCCCACACACACTCATTGTGAAGAGAAAAGGTGGGGGCTTCGTGCATGTAATTTTCCATCAGAGTGAACCTATCTCTAGCTTTGACATCTGGAAACGGAAAAGCAGTTTTAATGCTTATGGATTATCAGAAATAATTTCAAAGGGACACAGACACATTGGATTAACCTATGGATTAACTTCAGCAGCGTTTTTATCGTTTTAATACCATTGAAGACCACTTTGGACAGACTACAGAGCCAAGGTAAAAATGTTAGCATTTTTAGCTACCTAGCGTCACCTGTTTTGATGTCCGTTTTTGCTTATAACGTCGCAAATACGTATAATTCAGTGGTAATGTCGGTGTCAATCGATTCTGTGTCACCTCACGATGTGAAACGATGTGTTGGATGTGGTGAAAAGATAAATAATAAGGTTTTGTGAGTGATTTTCGGTGCAGTAAGGTGTTAGCATTTTTCACTCGTTGCTAATTCAGAGGCTCAGTGTTAGCATTGTGGGTTTTCTTTTGAAAAATAAATAAAAATGATCAGTTAGATGAGTTTCTTCCCGTTACATGGATATAAAACATTCATAGTTTTATTAAATGAACATGCCCTCAGACACTGTTTCCTGCAAGATGTTGCGGCAGTGCCCCGGTACCGGGGTCTCTCGGGCTTAACAGGTTAACAGTGGTTGGATTTCCGAGCCACAGCAGGGTCAGAGGAACGCTTCAGCACAGACCTCACTACAGACAGCGCCTCGTGGCTATGTAGGCTGACATTTCTCACTGAAATATTAATATACATGCCTTGATGATGTCATTCTTTATAAAGCCTCCTCAAGGTTCAAGGTTCTTTATTGTCAATCTGACATAGCTACAGAGTAATTATGTAGTTGAAAATCTTATGTCACAGGCTTCTCCAACAATGCAACATAATATCATAATAACAATAAGAGCAAGAGCAATACAAAGAGAAAAATAGTTCTAAAATAAAGTGATGATGTGGAATAGTGCAGTACGAGTCTATATACAAGTTATTGGAATGATATATATATATTAGGTATTAGATACATATTATTGAGTAGCTGAAGAATGTTTTGAAGTTGTTTCAACAGTTCAATTTTTTAACAGTCTCACTGCCCGCGGGAAGCAACTGTCTCCGAATCTTCTTGTCCTTGCCAGGATGCTGCGGTAACGTCTGCCAGACGGCAACAGAAAGAACAGTTTGTGGCTGGGGTGATGGGGGTCTTTGATAATCCGTAGTGATTTCTTCCTGAGCCGCTGGGAGTAAAGGTCCTCCATGGATGGCAGCTCCGTCCTGGTGATGTGCTGTGCAGTTTTCACCACCCTCTGTAAAGCCTTACGATCGAGGTCGGTGCAGCTGCCGTACCAGGCCGTCATGCTGCCAGTGAGGATACTCTCTATCGTGCACCTGTAGAAGTTGCAGAGTATCCTGGAATCCATTTTGAACCTCCTCAACCTGCGGAGGAAGAAGAGCCGCTGTCAAGCTTTCTTGGTGATGGTGGTGGTGTGAAGAGACCATGTCAGGTCCTCGGTGATGTGGACCCCAAGGAACCTGAAGCTGCTGACTTTCTCCACCGTAGTCCCATTGATGGCGATGGGGGCGTGTCCCTCTCCCTGCTGCTTCCTGTAATCCACAATCAGCTCTTTTGTTTTGCTGATGTTGAGATGGAGGTTGTTATCCTGGCACCAAGATGTCAGGTTTTCGACCTCCTCTCTGTACGCCGTCTCGTCGTCGTCTGTGATCTGGCCGATGACGGTCGTGTCATCAGCAAACTTCACGATGGTGTTGGAGCTGTGTGTGGCCACACAATAGTGAGTGAACAGGGAGTAGAGGAGAGAGCTGAGCACGCAGCCTTGAGGGGCACCGGTGTTGAGAATCAGGGTGGAGGATGTGATGTTTCCCACCCGCACTGCCTGGGGTCTGCCCGTCAAGAAGTTCAGGATCCACTCACAGAGGGCGCTGTTGAGCCCGAGGTCTCTGAGCTTGAGTCCCTTCCCTCTCCCCAAAGATCTATGATAATTTAGTAAGACTAAGAGCAGAAACTAAAGAGCCTGCAGTGTCCTCTCTGTTCACTGGTTTACGAAATAAAACTATTGACATAAGAAAAACACGGACTATCAGCTCTATTTAACTTTTTCTGTCTTACAGTTTTTAACCTGTTTGGAGTTTCCACTTTCTAAACTTCTTCAGCTCTGATCACATTATTAAACCTGGAGTTATTTCAAGCAGGAACATTGTTTTCTAAAGTTACATCATGTTTTCTTTATTCAGTCTGAGTGACTGCAGTTTGTCAAAGATCAGCTGGGCTGCTCTGATCTCAGCTCTGAAGTCCAACCCCTCCCATCTGAGAGAGCTGGACCTGAGTGAGAACGATCTGCAGGATTCAGGAGTGAAGCTGCTGAGACATCTTCTGGAGAGTCCAGACTGCAGACTGGAGACTCTCAGGTCAGTTCGCTGACTCTCTGTTACTGCTGGAGATCTCATGTTTGTTTAGTTATTCAACCTAATTCTTCATCATACATATATTACATCCAAACGTTTGTAAATGTTGTCGTAACAGTTGATTGTTTCATAAAGAAACTATTATTGTTCCACTGTTATTTTTTACAGTAAATGTATATTTTCTTTAGTAAATGGTCTGAATAAAAAAGGTCCTCTGAACTAATATTAGTTTTACGTAAAGTTAACTTTCTGACATAGACATGTTTATGTTCCCATTATTTAGACATGTTATCACAGATAATAAACAGAAGGCTGATATAATGATGATCCACAATAACAGAATGACAGTCACTGTAATTCAGGGAAAAGATCATTGATTAGGACGCAGTAATGTTGAGCTACACATTTCAGACCTGAACATCTCATCTGATTATAAACTGATTTTTATCCTCATCATGTTTTCTTTATTCAGACTGAGGAGCTGCAGTTTGTCAGAAATCAGCTGTTCTGCTCTGGCCTCAGCTCTGAAGTCCAACCCCTCCCATCTGAGAGAGCTGGACCTGAGTCACAACAATCTGCAGGATTCAGGAGTGGAGATGCTGAGAGATCTTCTGGAGAGTCCAGACTGCAGACTGGAGACTCTCAGGTCAGTTCTCTATCTTTAACTTCTGTGCTGAGATTAAGAGAGTTGTGTTGACTCTGAGCTGCAGATATCAGGCTGATATCACTCTGATCCTCACTGAGCATCTTAATGCTAAAGTGTACTTTCTTCTTCTGTGGTTCAGTTCACTGACTGTGGCAGAGCCATGTTGAACTTTAAATATAAATATCACTTCCTTCACTGCATAATTCCCTCTAAAGTTTAGAGTCTAAACCTTTAAACACCTGAAATACATCTTATTTTCTCCATAATGATTTTAACAAAGGATTTGAAATACAATAATTAAATATGTTTATTAAAACTATGAAATACTGACAAGTATTTTCAGTTGTTGCTGTTTCCAACATGTTTCTGAAGCTACATGATGCTTTACTGACTGAATAGTTTACACTGAAGATGCTGTGATTTGATGACTCCACTATTCCTAAAATAAATATTCTGGATGTTTCTTCACATTTAAAATTCATCCTATTTGTCCTCTTTGTAAACGCTGTGATGTTGAGTTGAATCAGTTTCTGAGGGTTTGTGTTTTTCCGGCTGCACATCATGAGTTTGTGTAGATGGAGAAGAGTTTCAGATGTGAAGTAGAAGCACGTTGTGTTTAATATTAATGAGAAGTCTGTGTACCTGCACTTAAATGGTCTTTCTCTCTAAAATTATTCAATAGAAAAGTGACTGAAGGCTCTTTTGGTATTTTACTAAAAGCTCAAATGATCATAGTAGCGAGGGGCCGGGGGGCAACAATCAGAAGTCCTTTCAAAACAAAAGCCCTGGTCTGGTGAAAGACACTTGATGCTAGATAAATGTGTTCAGGTATCTTTGTAATCACACTAGAGGAAGTGAAGGGCTCGTTGAGACAGTCCTTAATGTTCTCTCAGAGCACATCAGACTAGAGGAGGGATGAGGGCTTTCCTCTGAAGCGTCACTGAAGCCTTGTCTGCTTCAGCTGATCAGCTGTCAGCTTTAACAGCTCTACACACTTTGGACAGTTTGCTCACATGTGCACTCTGCTCATACTAATATAATGCTCTCAGTTGTCATGAAGCAGCAGCAGGGTGTTATAGGGGTGCATACCGGCTCCCGGTATTACCGAAATACCGGTTACTGGTGGCTACAGTATACCGTACCGAAATCAGATCCGGTTTTCGATACTTTTTTTTTTTTTTTTTTTATTTAAAAAAAAAAAAAAAAAATTATAAAAGTGAGGCATAATATCCTTAAACTTGTGCCCAAACCGTCGGAATTACGATGTCAATTTCGCCGCAACCAAGTCACTTTTGAAAATCTAAAGTGTGGCTGCATATGTCTGCCAGTCTGAATGGTGGGGTCTGTAACCACTGCCAGTCTGAATGGTGGGGTCGGTAACCACTGCCATTCTGAATGGTGGGGTCTGTAACCACTGCCAGTCTGAATGGTGTGGTCTGTAACCACTGCCAGTCTGAATGGTGGGGTCTGTAACCACTGCCAGTCTGAATGGTGGGGTCTGTAACCACTGCCAGTCTGAATGGTGTGGTCTGTAACCACTGCAAGAAGTTTATTTCTGGGAAAGGTGGCAACACATCCAATCTCCAACCAATGCTGTCTCGTATGGCAACCAAGTACCTTTGTGTTCAGGGAAGCAGCGTGCCAAGCGAGAGAGTGTTCAGTTTAGCAGGTGATATCCTACGCTGTGAAAGGGCCCGTTTGGATCCAGAGAGAGCAGATATGCTCATCTTCTTGAAGATGAATGCACAAAACTGAACTGTGATGGGATTTGTTTTCTTTCATCAGGCAAATGTTGATTTTAAGGATGCTATTTGTTTTATGTGCAATGCCGAGATCTCATGATCCTTTATGTGTTCTCTGGTCAGTCGAATCTCAGGTTGAATATTGATTATACTGGTGCTATTTTATTTTTCCATTGACAAGATGTACTATTCCCGCCTGATGGTTGTTATAAATGATATTGCAGAATCAGTTTTCTTCATAGATAACGTGTTTTTCATTGTTTGTTCAGTACTAAAAGGTCCAAGTCCCACAATTGAATTTAATATTCATTTGACATGTTAACTATATAATAAAGCGCTTCATGGGAGTAATTGCGGGATGATAAAATGTTTCCCTTATGCAACATGAAAGTATCACGATATGTATTGGTTGAGTATCGGTATCGTTCAGTGGTATCGGTATCGGTATCGTAAAAAAGTCAACGATATGCATCCCTAGGGTGTTACCTATTTAACACACACCTGCTCACCATCAACCACCTGCATCTCATCTTTGTTCTGTGTCCTGCTTAGCGGCACAGGATGCATCTAAACTGGCAGAAAGAGTTCATCTTAGCCTACCTATTAATTACCTGCGTCTGTACTCAGGGATATTCTGATCGTGAATGAATGATTTATTAACCCAGAATAAGATCGTCTTTTGAACTCCGGAGATTACTTACTAGGGTCTGATAGCAGAGGTCGGCGAAGACCCTATTGACCCTGCCAAACACACACAAAAAGCACACAAAAAGAGTCCAAAATCATGACGGCAGATAGCTCGCTACATTATTGATATCGATAGGATTATTATTATTATTATTATATATATTATACTTATTTTGTTTGGGCGCGTATCTAATGGGAATTGTAGTTTGTAGCGCTGCTCTCATATCATTTCAATGGACGAAATATGAATGGTAGGGAGAGGACGCTGGCGCTTGTTTGTTCGCCGCTTCTCCTACGCCTCAGGGTTTTTTATCTGCTTTTAAGCTATTTTATCTGCTTTTAAGCTATAGTTATATGGCTAAACTTTGAGTCTGTTTAACAACTGCTTTTATATCTTAAACCTCGTGATTATTGACGGTTTTGGACCCGACGGCTGTCGGGACTCACCTGCTGTATCACCCAAATTCGCCGACTATCTCCGGCTGACTGCTTGCCTCTCTCCCGCTACTACTGTGATAGCAGGCGGACTCCCAATCCTCTGTTTCATTCCCTGACGTGAGGTCTACTAACGGGATAGCCTTCCCGGCTGTCTCGTTGCTGTTAGCCCTCACTGCTAAGCACCGCTACCAAACTTCTTCGGCGCCCAACCTGTTGACATGTTGAGGTTTTCTATTCCCCAACTCCTGAGTTTCAACCACTCCAACGCTCCAACCTGCACCTCAGTCATTAAACAACTTGGACTTCTTCGTCGGCCTCGCTATATCCACCGAAGCCAAAGAAGAAGACAAACTGTATATTCCCAGCACGGAGATGCAGAAATTCCATCCATCCACTCCGTTTGCCGTCGTGTCGCACATCTGACGCGTCATCAGAGCCCGGTCATGGCGGGGTCAAATCGCGCCAGAAACATTGCGAGACCGCTGCATGAATACACGGAGAGCATCGCGAGATCGCCACACACGAAGGAGTCTGGAAAACGTGGAGTGGATTACAGCCTACTCCGGCCCCTACAGAGATTCACCACATCTTCCAAAGCCAAAATAGAACTTCTGAATACACAATCCCTCAGTAATAAAGCATCCTTCATTCATGACCACATCACTGATGAGAAAATGGACTTCATGTGCCTCACGGAAACCTGGCATCAGCCAGAGGTTTATTCCGCCCTCAATGAAGCATGCCCTCCTGGCTACAGCTACTTGGAGAAAGCCCGCAGCACTGGTCGTGGTGGAGGCTTAGCTGTCATCTACCGACAGGATTTGGAACTGTCACTCCTGCCCCTGCCTGTATTGTCCTCTTTTGAATGCCTTGCATTTAAATGTAAACCCCCCTTCGCCCTGACAATACTTCTGATCTACTGGCCACCCAAACCCAACTCAGCTTTCATCCCAGAGATACAAGACCTTCTCACTACGCTATGCACAACCTCTGCCAATATCATCATACTTGGAGATCTTAATATTCACGTCGACTCCCCCTCCTGCCACTTTGCCACTGAGTTTCTGCTACTTCTGGACTGCCTCAATCTGACACAGCATGTTAATGTCCCCACACACGCCAAGGGCCACACGCTCGACCTGGTCATCACAAACTCCGCCCCCATCAGCAATCTGCTGGTGTATGACCTGGGGGTGACTGACCACAAGACCATCTCTATGGAGCTCTTTTTCCAGTCCCCACTCAGCATGCCCAAACGCCAAATCCGCTTCAGGAACCTGAGGAACATCAACCCGGACACCATGACCCTGGATCTCCAGCATCTCTCATCTGCCACCTTCTCATCAGTGAATGAGTCAGTTGCTTATTACAACCACTCCCTGAACCGTCTCCTTGATCTGCACGCCCCCCTCAAAACCAGGATGGTCACCTTCTCGCGCTCAGCCCCTTGGTACACCGGCGAGCTGCGGAGAATGAAGACAGCTGGGCGTGTCCTTGAGCGGCGGCTCAAGGCCTCAGGACTCACTGTTTACCAGTTAGCCTATCGTGAAACACCAGAAGGCCTACGCACAGTCCCTCAGAGATGCACGGTCCCAGTACTACTCCTCCCTCATCAACAACAGTTCTGGAAACTCCAAGCAACTCTTCTCCACCATTAACCACCTCCTCAAACCCCAAAGTCCTTTACACTCCGACTCCACTGAGAAGCAGTGTAGCAACTTCGCCGCCTTCTTCACCAACAAAGTTGACACCATCCGCTCCCTCCTCTCTAGCCCCTCTACACCTCCAGTTCCAACTGCTGACCCACAGCTTGGGACAACCCAGCCTCTTCGCTGTTTCACCGTACAGTCTCTCAGCGAGAGGTTGAGGGCATCGTTAGGAGGATGAAGCCCTCCACCTGTGTCCTGGACCCCCTTCCGTCAGCTATTGTGAAATCTTACATCTGTACCATGAGCCCCATGATCACTAAGATCGTCAAACCTCTCTCTCCAGGCTGGCCATGTCCCCTCTGCCCTAAAAGACCGCTGTCATCAAACCTCGTCTCAAAAAACCCTCCCTTGACCCGGGAGTCCTGGCCAACTACAGACCCATTTCCAACCTTCCTTTTCTATCGAAGGTGCTGGAAAACCTAGT